GCGCGTTCCTGCGCTGCCGGTGTCTGTGTCAGTTGTGCCGAGCTGCGCCCTTCCCCGCCCTGGAACTGGAGCTGGAACCGGAACCCGGCGTCACCCTGGGGAGAGCGCGGCCGCTCCCTCCCCTGTAGGAGCCCTCAGCGGGGCGTGAGGTGCTGGAGTAGAAGCAGGGAGCCAAAGGTTGTCACCCGCCTTGTGCAGGGTGTCTGCGAGAAGCTGCTGGTGCAGAGATCACTGAAGGCTGGTGGAACCTGAGCTGTGCTGGGAGAGTTCATATTCTATGAACGCAGCGTGGTTTGGGTTGAAGGGATCTTAAAGCTCCTCCAGCTCCAACCCCTGCGCCGGGCAGGGACACCTTCCACTGGAGCAGGTTGCTCCAAGCCCCTGTGTCCAACCTGGCCTTGAACACTGCCAGGGATGGGGCAGCCACAGCTTCTCTGGGCACCCTGTGCCAGCGCCTCAGCACCCTCACAGGGAAGAGCTTCTGCCTCAGAGCTCATCTCAATCTCCCCTCTGGCAGGTTAAAATTCTACAGGGAAGCATTCTCCTGAACAGACTGTGGTGCAGTAAATGGTGCTGCAGTTTCTTGGTCATATGGTTGTTAGTAGAGAAAGTTATGGCTATTGTACGCTAATGGGTGAAATCCTACTACTGATCACTGAAATACTGCGTACTAAATTAGTCACCTCCAGAAGAATGTTTGACATAACCCCTTGCTAAGGATGCTGCATTTGCTAAAAAAGGCCTTAACTGTCCAAGTGTTTTAGGGGTGAGGTCAGTTGAAGATGTTGGTTCTTCTGAAAGTTGACTCCTCTGATTTGATTATACAGCGCAATTAATGTTGCTGAAACTGCTTTGCTTTTGCTCAGTCATGGTCATTTCCTCTTGGTATAGGCATGGCTCATCCTTGAGTTGCTTCTAAGTCCATCAAATACCCCTGGCAGTCTGGGGCTTTTCTCTTCCATGGGACTTCCACAACCCCCTTCTAAGTGCTTCAAGCTTCTCTTTCTCATAGGACAGGTTTCCACTGTCTCATGACCAGCAGCTGTCCTATCTCAGTGCTCTGCCTGCCTCAAACAAAACAAATGGCCTTTCAGCTTTTAACAGGGTGGGTGGGAACACACACCCCATCTGACTTAATGTTACAGTAATTTACTTAATTACATGTTTTATAAAAGCTTTGCATTCAAGCCTAGGAGGAGATACTGAAGCCTTAAGCCTGTCCTCACTTCTCCTTTCATTCCCTGTCAGGAAAACAGGAAGCAAACAGGGCACTCCTTCTGGGGAAGCTCTGTAGAGTTAGCATTTCACACACAAAACACAGGAAAACTGGTGACCTGAGCAGGCAAAACTGTTGCTTGCAAGACAGTTGCATTACCTGAGTACCTAGAGCAGAGGCTGAAATGCTTTAAGTAATCTTAAGTGTAGAATAGTCAGTATGTGGAAGGCTTTAGAGCCTAAAACTGAAAGAGTTTAGAAACTGAAACCTGTTCACTGAGGGGGCTGTCTCTCTTGATACGTATACCAACTGCCCAGAGAATAAAGGTGAAGAGCTCCAGCCCTTTCCTTTGGCCTCCCAGACACTTTGCTCTCATTTAGCACAGACTTCATGCATTGCTGTCAGCTGAGATAGACTAAACACAGTGAGCTGCTAAAAAATGAACCTGGCGCAGACCAGGGCAAAAAGCCCAGTGCCTGGCATGGAAATGGGGCTCACACAAGCATATCCCCCAGTGGAGGAAAAAAATACATCCCTGAGCACCTTGATATTGTAGTGCAAACTCCATGTGCAAAGTGATACCTGCACACAGAATGTGGCCTGTGTGCCTGGGTCAAGTTAAATGGACAGATGAACCATTCTGACTCTGCTGTGGGTGACAGAGCTGTGCTCTTGCTGCTAGAAGGCATGCTCAGCGCAGTGTATAAGGAGTTGCTAAACAACTCCTCACTATTTGAGCTAACGGAAGTCTGGAATTCTCAGTGAGAACCTCTCGCTGGGTGCAAAGTTGGAATTCTTGCCTATTTACTGATTAAACCACATTGCAGCCTTCCTGAGCCGCCACTGTTACAAGCCATTGGGCATCACTTTAAAAGTGGCCATTGTAGGAATGTGATGTTTCTTCAGCAACACCTTTAACCAACTGCAGTGGCTTGCTCCAGGCTGAAAGCAGGAGTTACACCAGTAGGATACCACTGAATTATTAAACTCATGGGGTATTTCAGCTCAGTTCTGCTGCTCCTCCTCAGCCTTGCCTATCTCAGTGCTGATGGGGTAGCGTATGATTACATGATCAATTTGAGCAAATGGAACCTGTCACAAGTGCTGTGCCCAGCATCCTTAGTAATGCTAAACATCATGCAGCCACAAAATAAAGCAGATCAGTTTGTTAAGCTGTTAAAAAAAGTAATCTTCTATGGAAAAGAGTGGGAGAGAGAACTTGGTACTTGGAAGAACATAGGAGGTAGGGGAGAAAGAGGGCTGGAATATCTCTTCTTGCTACCACATGATGTCACATTGACACAAGCTGACCATGAAGTGCACCATTGCTATCTGCTGTTCTTGAAAGATTGTTTGTGCCAGTGTTGTGGAAGGTTTGGGCTATCATGAGTAGACAAATTCAGATGTAGTTTAAGTGATAGGAAAAGGAGTACACAAGGTTTTAGCTCCACAGACTTGTTTTCAGAGGATGTATGGCTCACTATCACTTTCTTATCTGAAAGTTAATCTGTTAGGTTCTTTGCTTTACATGCAAACCCACCCCCACTTAGACGTGATCCAGCCTAAGTGCTGTCTTATCAGTGTGAGTTAAGTCAAACATTGAGAGAAGTCCTATAGGGAAAGCTAGAAGAATACCTGAAAGAAGGAATAAAATACACTAGAGCTTGTCTTACTAACTCATCATGTGATCTCTTTATCTTCAGCTGCTCAAATAAGGAATTTGATGAGCCAGTTGGGAACCAAGCAGGATTCCAGCAAGCTTCAGGAGAACTTGTAAGTATTAAATAAGCTAACATTTGTATAGGTTCTCTTTCATTTCTCTCTGTATTCTTAAAGGAACTGGGTTACTTGCTTTGGGGAGGTGCTGTATTTGGTAAGTTTAATAAAGTCCTACAAAGCAAACATGACTAGCTGCATTAAGTAGTTGACTAGATGAATCCAGGTGTTCCTGCAGGACTCTGGAGAAGCCATTCAAAACTGGTGGATAGCAATGGTTAGAAATGGTGTAGTGTATTTAAAAAGGGTAGTAGTACATCAGCCATGCATTAGCTGTGCTCTTGAGGACTAGTCATAGTAGTTTTGCTTGTGGTTTAGATGAAATTAATGCCATACTAGGTACTTGGTCCTCACATAAGAGCAACGAAGAAAAACAGCAAGGAAGACCCCTCATGAAAAAGTAGCTGTAGTACAGATGGATTTAGGCACTACAAAGTTTAGCAATCTTATATGGCAGCCAAAATGCCACATGTGCTTTCAGAAGAAGAATATGTCAGCGGGGGACAATAGAGGAGGCATTTGAACAGGCATAGTCCAGACTCCCTCCTACAGAGACTGAAGAGGGAGACTGTGTGTCTATGCATCTTCTCAGACTTGTAAAGCATAAATGGCAAGTGATGAGAAGAATAATTTCTGGAGTCATAAGAGGGTAACTTGAAAGTTCTTCCATTATCTTTTCATGCGACTGTACCTTCAGTCTCAGAATATGCAACTTCCCCATCTCTTACAACAGCTGGGTTTTGGATAAGTTCATACACTACATTTGAAGGATGAGATCAGCCCAGTTGGGAGAGAAAAGAATTTGTTTGCTTGAGCTGCTCAGTTGACCCAGTCTGTATTGAATCAGTAGATTGAAGAACTAATCACCACTGACCATACATGTAATTTTGTTGTCAAAAAGGCCTTTCTCTTTAGGGTGAGAGTGGTTGCACTCCAGAGAGCATCAGCTGCCATACTGATTTCATACAAAATGCAGGGGTAGTTTATTTGGCTCACATACTGCAGGTCAACTTATACAGTAATGCAGCCTGCAGACTTTGATTTGTGTGTTTATTGGGCTGTAATGGGTGACTCTCACTTAAGCATCTTGTATCCACTGAATGCTAAAAGACTGGTTCTTGGGTTTGTATTTTGTGTCTTCTGGTTTGCGGTATTAGCTTTTCTGCATATGGCTGCAAAATAAAATGTGTGGTTCTGTTCTCTGTGGAAGCATTGTTTCTAATAAAGTGTGTCTTTGAAGGTAATATCAAGACATCATGTTGTTCATCAGTGCCACTAGTGTCTCTCTGGAATGTGGTATGAAGGAAGGTGCTCCTGCACCAGATCTTCTGCAACAATAGCTGTGAATTGCAGCTATTAGAATGGTTGGAAAATATAAAGGCTCAAGGGCCAGGCTTGCATTTCCCAAAGCAGAAGCTGGATCATTCCTCTCTCTGACCACTAATTTTCACAAAAAAATTAAGAATTTAGTATCTCCCAGTCTGTACTTTTATCAAATACACATGAACCAATGGTGGTTGTCAGATGAACAGTTAGTTACCAACTGTACTGCCAGGAATTCACTCTGAAAGACTGATTAGGTTCACTGAATAAAGTTGTCTCTCTTGAATTTCTCTGTCTTATGCCATTGGAGAAAATTATCTTTTTAAAACTACTGATTTACACTAGCTAGCAGGGAGCACAGAACTTTGAATCTTTTTATAAACATAGTCCAGAGTCAAGTTGATGGTAAAAGCTAAAAGTACATTTCTGATCCATTAGGATGACAAAAAAAACCCCACCGTAAAGATGTGTGATCTCAGCACCCCTACTCAGTCATTGTTCTGGAAATTGGAATGCTCAGAGACTGCTTTTTAGGTAGAAGCTTGTGTAACTGCTTTTGAACTTCTGTTTCAGACAACAGCTACAGCATTCTGCAAACCGCCTTGCCAAAGAGACCAATGAATACCTTAAGGAGTTGGGGTCTCTACCACTTCCTCTGTCTGCTTCTGAACAGGTAGGCACACAGAATTTGTCTGGATGTACTTTTATAAATCACTCATTTCATGAAACTAGCTTAGACCACAGCCTCACAAAGCTTGAATTGGCAGCAGCCTTTTGCAGTGAAGAACGGTGTTGACGTAGGGAAACAAATGAACTGGCTACGTCCCAGCTGCTTATGACACTGAGAGAACAGTATTTCCCAGTGGCAAATAGGTATAAAACTTACTCACATGAGAATAAGAAGCCCTAAATGTTTTGGAAGAGCTGAGCATGTCTTTCTGAGTACATATCTGAAAAATAAACCTGTTTACAAGGTGCCTGGTGATGTGAGGCATTGTTTTAGGATAAGAACTCCCTGCAAACTGCATGTTAGTGTGAAATGTGGTCATGCCAAAAAGCTTTCCCCTGCATGTGATTCATCTGGGGGGAGAAGCTTTGCTCATATTTAAATACAGCAAAATACAGTGAGGCATTGATTATGACTTTATCTCTTGCCAAATAGTCCTTTGAGTTCCCCCTGCCTATGGGAAAGGGAAGAGACAATCCTCTGCCGTTGGCATTTTCCTGCTCTGTTTTAAATCACTGCCATGCTTTGTGATACTGTTGTGGGATGATCTGTGGATATGGGTCAGCAGATGTTGTCTTAGTCTGTATTTAAAGGTTTATATGCCAGTTGTAAGCATGGCCATGGTTTGCCTGTTTGTTCAGCAGCTATTTTTCAGTTAAGCTCCCTCTGGTGAATAAATTCCCATCACGTGCATAGCACTGAATGCAGCAGTGACTTTTGAAGCCTAATGTTGGAGCAGTCCAGTCAAAATCTGCAGGAGCTGACATCAACATGCTGAGGATCTCCTCTGGCAGAAGGGCTGTTGCTTCCAGACAGCTCAGCTGGAAGCTGCAGTGTATTCTGAGGCTGCTGTAGTGGCTTAGAATAGGAAAAATAAGTAATTGAAAACATTTATTTCCTTGAAGTTGCTGTTGAGTTGATACAAGCTCGTTGAAGGATTCTAATACTAGAAAGCTGCAATTTGAGACGGCTGTTGGGAATCTCTCTAATGGAAAACATAAGAACTGCCCAGAGTATTGAGTGTCCTTTGGGATGAGCTTTTTCACAACTTCTGGTTTCCCGTTACACAACACTCGAAGGAGACGTCCCACAGAGGCTAAATGAGTTGATATTGTAAAATGAGGATGAAACAAGGTTTTGCAAGTAATGTATCTGGAGAACAGCTAAACTGAAATGGTTATTGGGACTAAGGATGTTCTCTGATCAAATAACAGCAGGCTTGTAGTGTGGCATGGCTGGAAGAGACAGCTTATGAAACTGGGGTCATGGTGTTGTCATTAGTCCTGGAAGTGTGGGGCTTCCTATATTTGTAAGAAACTTAAGGGAGATGTCTTACCAGGACAAGAGAAAGTTAAGTACTACCAAGTTGGCCAAGTAGAGGAATGGGGGGTAAAGGTATCGTAGGTATCCAAAAGGTGTGTAATTAAATGTGGTAGATTACTAGGATGTGGTCTGAATAAAAGTAATGGTGTAGAAGACCTCTACTTCAGACTTGAGGTTGAAAGAAGAGAACCTTATTACACAGAACTACTCTGCAATATGTAAGGCATAGAGCATTTGGTACAACCAGTTAAAATACGATGGGCTTTTTGTTCTCTCCAGTGCCCCAGAATGCTGGAACCAAAAGATCGCTTTGAGTGCCAGCATTTGTTGTTGTCATTGTTCTGATGATGGTGTTTTTCTCAGAGTCTGACAGTTATATTATCATGAATGGGAATATCTGAACACTTCTTTTTGTGTCAATCCTTTAGCGCCAACAGAGACTTCAGAAAGAACGTTTAATGAATGACTTCTCCGCGGCATTAAATAACTTCCAAGCAGTCCAGAGGCGAGTGTCAGAGAAGGAAAAAGAGACTGTAGCAAGGGCAAGAGCTGGCTCCCGCATCTCTGTAAGTATCTGTAGGAATTCTGTATTGATAGAGTGAACTACAAGTCTTCCAAGAGATCTTGTACTTCACATCTTGTACCAACTTCATAGCTGTCTATGGGCACATTGCTCAGTGCAATTGAGGCCTCAGTACATCAGTTTTGTCATTTTAGATGTTTTAAGTAGGCACTTATTTCAGTGTACCCCTTCTGAACGTTAGTAGAGGAGTGAAGGAATCCTGGTAATTGCAAAAGTTGTGGAGGATGAGATGTGCAGTCACAGTATAGCTAATAGCAAAGTATTGCAGGCTTGCTCTTTGCCTGACATCAGCCCTAGACTATAAAATTTAAGAGGTCAGTTGGAAGTTTTCCACACCTTAAATTACATCTTAAATCTCACGCTATGTTTCTTTATTTTCAAGATACTCCTGTTGATTTTACAGGGGGCCTTGGTAGTCTGTGAGACTCACAATTCCTTTATCTCTTCCAGGCAGATGCGCGGTTCAGAGAAGAACAGCTTGTTTCATTTGATAGGTAACAACTTCTTGTCCTCTTGATGTTATACTTTTAACTACAAATAACTGAAATTTTGATGTAAGATGTTAGTGTAACTTGGGCCAGGCTCTGCTAACTGAATGCAAAGCAGAAAGATTTGAAATGCAATTATTACAGCACTGTAATATACAGTGTACAAAATTAACTGTACACAACAGGATTTTATGTAGATCGTGTGATTACTGCCCTGAGGAAAACAGTCACCTTTCAGACAGTAACTGTCTGTCGTAATAGATAGATAAGCTTGTAAAATGTTGTATAAACTCTACAGTGTGGTAAAGAGAAGTTGGGATGCTCCAGAGCTTCTGTGATCACTGTGCCAGTTTGTACTGTATGTGTTTGGGAAAACTGGGATGAAATCTGCTGGCCCTGTCTGTATAAATCCTTTAACAAGAGACCTATCTTACATGTCCCATCCCTCTGTAAATGTTGTCACAAATGAGTGCTGTCTCTATACAGTTTCAGGACCAGGAAGCTGGGGGTTGTTCTGTAGGAAACCTTTCAAGTTTCAGTCACTGCTGCTTTGCTACAAATGGAACGTGGAAGTCCCTACACACAGAGAAAGGGTTGTAATTTCTTTCCATCTCTTTCCAGTGGTGAAGATTGGAATCAAATGCAGTCTCAGGAAGAAGATGTGGCAATAACTGAACAGGACCTTGAACTCATTAAAGAAAGAGAAACAGCAATCAGGCAATTAGAGGTGACCAATAGATCCTGCACAGTTAATGGTATTGGGAGATAATGCAAAGAAATTGTGCAGTGCTAACTAATGGGATGGGCTGGGGAGATCTGAAGGTGGAGGAATAGAGTTCCTTGTAGAGAGGATTGATGCCAAGATCAATCTCCCTGCTCCTGTTGAAGGAGACTAGGTATATTTTCCTTTGGTGTTGACTGGTGGTCCTTCAGATGGTAGGAGCAACTCATGTTACAATGTTCATCTCAATTCCATACTGTGCTAATTGCTAGTGGGATGAAATGAATGTGCAATGGCAGGAATATTGTAGGCTCCTGTGTTAATCCCAACTTCCACAGATAGTAGCTTCAAGTCACCTCAGTCAGTGAATGATGGAATCTGCTCTGACACTTTGAGCAACGGTCAGAAGAGGTACTAAGAATAAGGATTAGAAACGTTGGAACCAGTGTTTGTTGTGACTTGTTAAACTGTTCTCTTCAGGCAGACATTTTGGATGTCAATCAGATATTTAAGGATTTAGCCATGATGATTCATGACCAAGGAGATATGATTGGTAAGTGTGTTTGGGTAATGGGAAGTCTCTTCATAGTTCAATTACATGTTTTGTCTACATAGATTAAATTTTCTAGTATTTTGTATAAAAAGGAATGTACTTCTGATTATTTTTTTTAAACACTGAAGCTCTGAAATACTTTACATTGGCTTCTCTTATTTTTCCATAGATAGCATAGAGGCAAATGTGGAAAGCGCAGAAGTCCATGTGGAAAGAGCCAGTGAGCAGTTACAGAGAGCTGCCTATTATCAGGTAAATTCTGTAGGCTTGCAGTATTGTCAGTGTACAGTTGAGCAATAACAGATCAGGCATAGCAAGACGCAGAGGTCTGCAGCACACCAGCCAACCCAAACCAGTCTGTGATTCTGTGATTTAAACTGTAGAAATGCAGTATTATTTCTACACCAACCCCAAGTGGCCAAGGGGAGAATGTATGAGAGAACTGCTCAAGATGTTTGGCTTTCCTCTGAAGCCACAATCTTGTCCATTAGGATAAAAAACCTGTGGCAGGTGATGTCAAGTACTCTTTTTGTACCCAACTTGCAGTGAAGTTTGCATTTTCCTGAAGAGAAGCAAAACCTGTCATGTTCTGACTTAACTGTATCTCTTAGGCCACATGCTTCTAAACCTAATGCATTTATCTATTGGATCATGCAGTTTAAGGAACATGTGAAAGAGTTCAGACTATACTGGTTACTTCTCTTGAGTAATCATGGGCATCTAGTGCTCTAGTTCACTAAAGTTAGTAACACTAACTGGCAGACCTGCTTTTTCCTCTTGGTCATCTACTTCTGGTGTCAGTGGCTTTTCTTTTTTTTCCTTTCCTTAGAAGAAATCCCGTAAGAAGATTTGCATCCTGATTCTTGGTCTTGCTGTGGCTTCTATAATCATAGGATTCATTATCTGGTGGATAACAGGATGAAATCTTCCCATGGAACCTAATCTCATTGCTGAGACTTTTTTTCCCCCCTCAGAGCGAACAGGCTGACAAGTCTCAAAAATGAATTGACCACTCTGAGAGAGCACAAGCTGGAACTACTTCTAGTAATAGATATTAGCAACTAATGTGCAGATAACTAGTATTTGGAATTAGTGAACCATGGAGACGGTATTTATCAGTTTATATACAAATTATATTGTTTTATGTAACTAAAATCTTGTGGTTTTGCTTTCTGTAATGTATTATTCCCTGTCCCAACTGTATGCTGAAGTGTGATCAATAATTGGAGATGTCTTGTTTCTGACAAGTGGCACAACGTTAATATTTTATATGTATAGGTAACTTTGTTGGACTGGAATAAGAATGACATTCAAAGATGGCACAACACTGATTCACATTACCTTAATCCAGCAGTTTCTAAAGTCTCCAGGATCTGCCCCATGATTTTATTAGTCTCCAAGTGGCTGTGATTCTAGATTCCCTTGAAGAAATGTTGTTACAGATTGGAAAGGCAAGGAGAAGTATCCGTGGGTGATAGCTGGAACCACTGGGTGCTGGTCAGTTCAGCCTCGAGACTCGTAACTGTGGTGGTTAATTTTTTGAGCATGGTTGGGGTTGTTCTTTTCCAAAATGCATCATTTGAGGACAGGGTGTTCTTTGACTTGTAATCTAACAATGCAGCTTCCTTAGAGAAAATAGCTGGTGGTTTATTGTTGGACAAATGAGTATCTTCCAACGGTGACTCTCAAGCACTAGAAATACGAAGTTTAGCAGCTCACTCCTAAGTGGTTTTAGAAGCTTCCAGGGAGAAAATCACACAAAGATGAGGGAGTGGGCACCTAAGTTTACGGGATGGATGAGTATCAGCTGAAATCTCACTTCTGAAGAAGTGCTCTTGAAGCTTACTTGTAGTGCACTAGTAAATATTGTGTGGCTTGTGAACATCTGGTATTTTCCACTGGTTATGAAACAGAAGGTGCAAAACCTGGCTGAGTGAAGGGCTGTTTTTCAGGCTGAGGATGTGAGTGCAAATGAAAAGATTGCTGGTTCCAGCTGTCTTGCTACTCGAGCTGGACAGGATATAGCAGCCACTGCCCCCTTCAACGTAGCTCTGAGCTGACATGCACTGAGGGAACACTAATCTGTCCAAAGCCCAGTGGAGTGCGGTAAATGCAGCATACTGACCCATTTTGTATTTAATCCTTATTCCATGTCTCCTGTATAATAAAGTAAATGTGAAAGCTGGGAAGGGAGCGTGTTCTCCCATTTCCACAGTGGTTTGCACTATTGCGCCGTCATTCCATCGAATAACCATCAATAAACACTTTTAAAAGTCCACCTCGGCGCTTCTTTCTCGTGCAGTTTAGACATTGGCACTGGTGGGTGTGTGGTTCCCTGTGGAAGCAGGGTAGAAGACTTTCCGTCTGTTACAGCAGTCTCTCCTCCAGCTGTAGTTCTGTGGTCTCTGATTCTAAAGAATGAAACTAACTGAAACTAGTGAATTACCTTCACACGGACATACACAAACCTCCTGTGCGCAGCCCTGTACTACAGTCGATGGCAGAAGAATGAATCTGATGCCCAGATCAGTGCTGGGTCAACTTGGACTGTCCGTTACTACACCTTGAAGTCTTTGCTGAGCCTGTAAGGTAAAATCAGACTTGAAAGCAAGGAACGAGTGTGTGGTTCTGCTCCTTATTTAAATTACTCCTCAATGGTAGAGCCTGCAGCTTTGTGCACTGCCTGCTGCAGCGGACAGTCCTCTGGATGTCACACCTCCATATACAAACCAACACGCTTATCTCCTGCCTTGCTTAAAAGGGAGCCTGGGTACAGTGTGTGTAGGATCCATCTTTACTACGGCCTCATTCGGTCCTCTAGGAGCTGGCACTGAGGACCAAAGCCCGGCTCGCTGGCCTCAGCATGGCTGTAACGGCTTTCTCCTCTTTCTTCCCATCACTGAACTTAGCCGCGGAGCTGCTGCAGGAGCTGTTTTGAACAGCAGTCTCGGCTGAGCTCCTGAGGGTGCAGCC